AATTGAGTTCATGAGAGTGGGACCCTCATGATCTTTTTTATAAGATTTATTTTTATAAAAAGAAGAGACCAGGGTTGTGTGTCTTTCTGCCATGAGAGCACTTGGCGAGATCACTTGTCTGCCACCCAGCAGGAGAGGCTTTCTTCATGAGAAATTGCATCTGCTGGCACCTTTGTTCTGGACGTCTCAGCCTCCATCATGATGTGAGTCAATAACTTAGAGTAAATCTCTGTATGTGTACATCTGCTGGAACCTAAATCTTGGAGGCCCCAGAACCACGAGGAATAAATGTCTGGTGTTTGACCCACCCAGTCTAGGTGTTTTGTTATGGCAATCTGAGTGGACCAAGACACAGAGGGAATGGCAAAGGCAAAGGCTTTGAAGTGGGGAGAGCTTGGTGTCTGGCTCCCAGGAAGTGACAGTGAAAGGAAGAGGGAGGCAGGCCACATCGAGATAAAGTGCTTGGTGAATCTTTTCTGCAGGGGTCTGTTGAGCAGGTTTCGAGTGTAGGGAAGTGATATGATCTGATTCCCTTTTTTTTTTTTTTTTTTGAGATAGAGTCTCACTCTGTCGCCCAGGCTACAGTATAGTAGTGTGATCTCGGCTCATTGCAACCTCTGCCTCTGGGGTTCAAGCGATTCTCCTGCCTCAGCCTCCTGAGTAGCTGGGATTACAGGCCCCTGCTACCACACCTGGCTAGTTTTTGTATTTTTAGTAGAGATGGGGTTTCACCACATTGGCCAGGCTGGTCCTGAACTCCTGACCTCAGGTGATCCACCCTCCTTGGCCTCCCATAGTGCTGGGATTACTGATTCCCATGTTTCAGAGCTGGTTTTGGCTTTGGCATGGAAGCAAGGGATACCACTTAGGAAGTGAGAGGAAGGGTCGCAGGGGGGTATGGGATTTGCTGATGGGTTGGATATGAGGATCCAGAAGCAGAGGAAGCAAAGGATGACTGCTAAATTTTGGGGTGAATTTGGGTGAAGCCTTAGGAAAGAAGTAGAGAGGCGTGTGTGTGTGTGTGTGTGTGTGTGTGTGTGTGTGTGTGTGTGAATCCCAAGTTAAGTCTAAGATCCTATCGGACAGCCTGGCAGAGTAGAAGAGGATTGACCACAGGACTCTGGTTTCAGGGAAGAGATCTGATCTGGAGATTATGCTTTGGGATTCATCAGTTACTGGGGCAGTTGTGTTGGTGGACTTCTGCGGCATTCTTGAGTGACTTCTTTTAGTTTATGATGATGATAGTCGTATTGGTAGAAGGTGTGAAAGCTAAAATTCTGCTTGTGTTTATAATGCCTGAGTGCTTTGTGTGCACAATCTGATTGACTCCACACCATTCTTTAATATCCCATGTTTGCAGCTTAAGGAAGCTGAAGCACCAAGAGGTCAGTGTCAGGACTCCTTTGTAGAAAGAAGTATTTCATTGTGGGGATGCTGGCAGCCGCCTACTGGGCAATACCACACTAGGCTGCTTTTGCACACGAGTCTCCATGCCCGAGGAATCCTTTCTTCCTCAGCCATTGCATTGTGCATGTTCAACAGCTGGATGTTGTAAAAGAATAATACTGGACATGAACTCTGGGGACAAGGGTTCAAGTCCAGTCTGTTATTTACGGGATGCTTTGTTAGGGGAGCATGAACATATAGAGTTCACAGGATGTCATCCAGGCGGAGCTGATCATCCATGTCTGCCGTCTTTGCTTTGCCATCCGTTCCTTCTCCAGTTACCAGCCGGCTTCTGCCAGCCTAACCCCTTCTAGCCAACACTCATTTCCTGGCTGTGCCAGCCTGATTACTTCTAATTGTCTTTGACTGCTTCCAGCTGGGTCTTCTAGCTGGCGTTCTGCGGGAGCACAGAGGCAGTCTCCCAGCCATATGCGGCGAGGAGATGGCGAAGGAAAAGGGGAGGAAGGAATCAGCTGGTACAAGTCAACTGAGAAAGCTTCCTAAGGCTTCCCAGCCCACTGGGATTGGTCATGTTTTTGAAAGGGTTAACTCATCTGAGTTAAAGAATGACCCATCTTTGACAAGACAAACAATTATATTTGTTGATCCCCAAAGGCAGCCAACAATGCAAGTAAAAGCGCTTTTAGAAAGTCACTGGTAATGTCTCTCCCAGGACGGACAGGGTCTTGCTCTCGGAGCGGTAAAACCCCACTTGAGAATCAAGTGAATGATGACTTTAATTCATTTATTCAATAAATATTTACTGAACAATGATCATGTCTCAGACACTGTGCTAGGTACTGTAGGGCAAATAATAACAAACTTAGACACAGACCCTGTCCTCAATGAGTCTAAAAGAGGAGAAAGCCATAGATGATAAGCACTACAGGACATAAGGGGAATGTGAAATGACCTAATGTGCTAAGAGAGAACAGAGGGAGGTGGGCTTCTTGCAGCTTACTGGTTGAGGAGGGCTTCATGGGAAAGGGAACACCTGTGCTACGTAGAAATGAGTCCGATACAGCAGATGGGGGGCGGGCATGGCACAGGCAAAGTGTGGCAGTAGGGAAGCCTGATCCCGGCTAATGACAGCTGAAATGTAGCACCCCCTCATCCCCCGCCCACCCCAGGATAAGGCTAGAAATTCAGTTTGGGCTAATTAGTAGAGAATTTTCAATGGCGCATTACTGCTGCATTGAATAATCATATGTTTTCTGCACATTGAATATGAGGGCAATACATTGTGTACTAATTTGTTTTACATAAAGACATTTCTGGGGTGATTTCTTTTTAAACAGGCTATTTCAGAGACTAGGACTTGTAGTTCAAAAACCAGTTACAAGGCTGACGCACGGGTAGGATTTGGACTTCTCTTTGGCATCTATCCCAGCTTATGGAATTAGCAATGGACTTGAATCAAACCCAGGCAACAGGCTTGAGAAAGATTTAATGGGCCTGGATTTTTTTTCTTCTTCACCCCTTTCCTGACCTCTACCCTGAGAGGATAATTAAAAGGAAAGAAAATCTCTATTTCATTGTAAATGTCATCCACCATTTTTGTGAAACTTTTTTTTTTTTTAGTCCACAAAGATACTTGGGGAACAGTCTCTGAAATTTGCCTTAAACTGAAATTTAGAGATAAATAAATCTCTAAATTTTTACAAAAAGTGCACGTCCTAACATTAAAAAAAAATCTTAGCCTATTAACTCAGCATTGGGTGGACTCCCAAACTGTTTCTGATGGAAGATTCAGAGTGGTTTTTGGCCCCAAAGTGAGCTCTTATTCTTTAGACAGTTGCTGGACATGTATTCTGCTGGCACCATGTTGTCACCAACCCCGTCCCATGCAACTGTCCTCTTAAGATTTGATTACTGAATTAGAGACGTTAAAAGGATTGAATGAACCTTACTGAAATAGTCAAGGCCTGTGGGAGCAAAGATGTCCCTTAAGCACAGCGAGAAAAACATTTTAAGCTGTACCTTTAATATTGGTAAACGGGAACAATGAGACAGAACCACAGAAAACGCAGTATGTTGAGTCCTAATAACTGAGGCTGGTGACTTGTAACAGGTAGGTAGATGAATATAGTAGTGTATTTCAAATTAGACCTATTGAAAGCAGGTGTTTCTCTGGGTCCCTCTTCAGATGGGTCAGCGAGAACCCAGACACTGAATTGATGACAGCTGTTGTCCACCCCCCTCCCGCTCCCACCACCATCTCAAAGCATGGCTATGGGTCGATACCATACTTGTTTACTCAGGAATAAACAATGAAAGGAACTTTGTCAGGACCAAATCCTTCCTTTCAGCTGATGTTGCATGATCGGGATGAAGTTTGCATTAAATGCGGGCACCTCAACAGGTAGCATTTTGTAAATGCCTCTCCCTACCTACCCTCCTGCTTCTCCCTCACAAGACTCTTCATTTTCGGTTTGAGAAAACGTTCTGGATCCTGGAGAGGGTATCCAGTGTTGTCAGGGCAGCTGCAATTGTTTATGCGATGAGCACAGTCACAGCGCTTGCAGAACAAAAGCATCGAAGAGCGGCGAACGCCGGTCCACCTCCTGCAATCACGGGCGTCATTTCAATGGAAGGCAAAGAAGGTGTAAGCTACAAGCAGAGGCAGCAAACGCCCTGGTTCCTACGTTTCTGCTGCTACTATTACCGCTGTGGCTGCGCCTCCTCCAGCACAGCCATCCAGGCTGCGTGCGAGCCCGGTCGGACGCCGGGCCACCTCCCCACCCTTTCTTCCAGCCATCCATCTATCCTTCCACCCCAGGTCCAGGGGGCCCTACTGCGTGCCGGACTCAGGACCAGGCTCTCAGCCCGACCCACAGTCTAAGGAGTTCGAGAGCCTTCCCCCTTCCCCCTGCCCCGGGTGGGTGCGCCCAGTGGGGAATTTCACCGCCGAAAGGTCCAGAAAACCCAAGCCCAGATCCGGGCGAGAGGCGCAGCCGGAGGCTGCCAGACCTGGGCGGCCCGGGAGCGCGCGCCTCCGAGGCCGCGCAGGGTCCCCCCGCCTGGCGCTCAGGTGGCTCCTCCGTCCACTCCGCCGCTCCCCTCCCTGGGCCCTCCCCTCTCCAGCGAGGGTCGAGTTTGACTGTGGCGCGCGGGGAAGGAGGGGCTACGAGGGATTTGAAAGTGCACGGGCTGCGGAGTGGAGATCGCATCTGTTCCCGCCGCCCGCGACCGGATTAAATTTCTGCAAATTCAAACTGAATGGGGCTTTCTTCTGCTGCCTTCCAGAGGGCGCCTGCAGCCCGCCGCGCGCTTCTCTCCGGCGGGAGCGGCCGTCCGGCGCAAGGCTAGGAGCGATCGCGCTAGCCGGACCCGAGCCCGTGCGGGCCAGACGGCGGCGGCGAGGCGGAGGCTGCGGAGGCGCCCAGGCTCCCAGAGCCAGGCACCTAGGCATCCGGACCCCGGGACCCAGGCGCCGCCGGACCGCGCCCCACCCCGCGCGCCCGAGCAGGGCGACTGTCATTAGCCTTCTGGACGGGACCCAGGGAGGGATCCCAGCGTCCTGAAAGGGGCCCGGGCGACCCTCCGAGGAAGAACTTTTGGGGGCGGGGTCCCCGGTCCCGCGTCGCCCGGGCGGCCGCTATTGTCTGCGCGCCTCGCTTGGCGGCGCAGGGGGCGTGATCGCGGCAGCCCCGGGCGCGGGGTGCGGATACCCGGGCGGGGCTCGGCCCAGGGCGGCGGCGGGAGCAGCCGAGGGAGCCGCGGGAGCCGAGGAGCCGGAGGAGGAGGAGCTGCGAGCGCGGGAGCCGAGCCGGAGCCGCGCGGGCCGCGGGCGAGCGCGATGCCGGCGGCTGCTGGGGACGGGCTCCTGGGGGAGCCGGCGGCGCCGGGGGGCGGCGGCGCGGAGGACGCGGCCAGGCCGGCGGCGGCCTGCGAGGGAAGTTTCCTGCCGGCCTGGGTGAGCGGCGTGCCCCGTGAGCGGCTCCGCGACTTCCAGCACCACAAGCGCGTGGGCAACTACCTCATCGGCAGCAGGAAGCTGGGCGAGGGCTCCTTCGCCAAGGTGCGCGAGGGGCTGCACGTGCTGACCGGGGAGAAGGTGAGTCACCCGGGCGCGTAGGACTGCGGGACCCGGGCGGGAGCCGGCGGCCGGAGCCCCGCGGGGAGCACTGCGCTGGGAGTCCCAGTGCGCAGCCCCAGGCCGGCGCCTTCCCCTTCCTCCCGGCTTTCCTCTTGGGTTAAAAGAGGGGTCGGGCCAAACGCGAGCTCAGACCCTCGCAGCCTTTCCCGAAGGGCGGTCTGGGGTCAGCTGTCCCGGGGCTGGGGGCTGGGAGGGGGCGTCCCGCGCCGCCGTTCTGTTCGTGGAAGGGCGCCGCCTGGCGGACACCAGCGCGTGGGGCGGGATGCGGCCCCCCTGCCCTCCAGGCCGGCCGGGGCGGCGGATCCGTGGCGAGGCGGGAACCCGAGCTAGAGGAGGTGGGCTCTCATGTCGGGGGCGGGGGAGCAGGAAAGCTAACAGCCAGCCTGAGGGGGAGCTTAGAGTCTGATCCCCGTTCTGTGCTCCGAGAGGAGGTGGGGGAAGGCTGAGAGCCTGCATTCCTCCCCACCTGTGGGCTCCAGCAGCTAGGTAATTTTTCGTGCTCAGAGGAGGGTTTTTGCCTCTGCCCCCAACCTGTCCATCCCTCAACCTGGGCTCCTCTCCATCCACTCAAGCCTCCCACCCCTGCCTCCCGTATCACACACTGTTCTCATGCCCGCCGTTCTCATCCCCTTCTCTTTGTCCCCCCAGCTCCTCCGTGCCCTCCAGGCTCAGGGTGGGAGCTGCAGTGAAGACTGGCAGGAACAGAACGACAGATACACCCCCAGAGACTGGGAGATGCCTTCTTGTCTTTCTAGAAGAGGGGAAAGGAAAGGGGACCTCCCCGATACTGAAAGGGGCACGTCTCCAGCTTTGCTGGAAGTTAGATGGTCGTGAACCCTTGCCAGGCGAGGGGCAGGTAGATGGAAGGTGTAACTTAAAACTGTGAGAAGAAACCCAAGAGGTGGTGACTTGTTTTTGAGGCTGGGTCACTGGAGGCTGGGAGCTGCCAGGAACTGAGCTAATCCAGGCTGGAGCTGCCCCAAGCTCCTGTCATGTTGGGCTCAAGACTCCCTCCAGGCTGGAGGTGGCTCAGCCCCGGAGGAGGACCAGCTCCTTTGTGTGGTCCGTGGGTCAGGGAGGTGTCAGCCGAACGGAGGGAAGGGGGGAGTTCAGGATTCCCAACCGAGCAGGTGGCCTGGGAGCTAAGCCCTGCCTTCTGACCTGGAGGCCTCTGCCTAGCCTGGGGTTGCCCTGTGAAACCCCTGGTCACAGGGTCAACATGCCCTTCCTGCCTGTCCCCAGCCTCACCCACCCCACCTTTGATTTCTCTTCCATTTCCCCACTTGGTCTTGAAGCTTCTTGCATGTGCATGCAGGTGTCCATCACCCTTGTCATTTTCCCTGTACCCCTGCAGCCGTTCTGAGGCACCCCTTCATTGTGGGCAAGTGGGGTTAGAGTAGTTTTTAGAAGTGCCTCCTGCCTGAATTCCCATGCAAAAAGAGAGCGTTCAGTATGAACTTGAGTAACTCTTCAAAGAAGAGGGAAAAAACCTCCAAACCTCGTCCTAGTCCGCAGGGAGTGAGGCACACTTGACTCCTCTGTTCCATCCGATTCGAAGCGAGCTGCCTGACTTCCACATTGCGCGTCCGTTCAGGGCGCGAGGATGCTGCGAGGCCACACAGTTGGCTAATTAGAGTGAGCGCACTCCTCCCGGCCCTGTGTAAATTCCTGTTGGCACTGGCGATGGAAGTTTATTTTCCTTGGAAACGTATAGGATTCAGTCTGGTCGTGCATATTTCCTCTCTAAACATAACAGAAAGAGGTGAGTCTTTATGCTGACAACGTAATGGCAAACACTGCGAGTACGTTCTTTTCACCTGGCCTGCTGCAGACTTCTGGCTTCTCTCCACTTTCCTGTGTTGTGCTGTGCCTCCGGCTCTGTCTCAGTGCATTTTTGCACCATAAAACTCTTGGCCTTGGCTGAACTGCCTGGGGATGGATTCAGAGCTCAGCCAGTGCTTGGGTTCTGGAGCTCTGTGCTTGGCCCCGATGGGAACCCCCACATGCAGGGAATTCCTTCCCAAATAAGATTCACTGGAAGAGACTCGCTGCTCCTGAGGCCTCCACGCACCTTTCCCTCTCATCTTATCTTTCTTAAATGATGAATCTCGTTTCAGTGTTGCAATAACAGGAGATGTTAATTAGATGTACAATTATTTCCCTGGATCCACTGATGGATCGCGGTTAAGGATGGTGGTTCTTTTAAGGTGGAGGAGGAGGCAGGGGAGAGATGTCTGTGTTGAAAAACTTGGTTTTCCTAGGATGCTCCTCTCCAGCGGGGAGGACCGGCGCTCCAGGGATGGCAGGCATGGGGAGAAATCTGGATTTTAGTTCACTCAATTGCTTGCTTTCAAGAAACAATGGCGTCATTCATAGCATTTATCTCCCAAATCCAACACCTTTAATGCTTAACGAGTAGATTTGGGCTTTAGCAGATTGTAGGGATTAAAATGTGTGTGTGTGTGCGCGCGCGCGTGCACGTGTGTGTGTATGTGTGTGTGCGTGTGTATGTGTGTGTGCGTGTGTATATGTGTGTGCATGTGTATGCGTGTGTATGTATGCGTGCGTGTGTGTGTGCGTGCGTGCGTGTGTGTTCGCGCGTGAGCTTGACTCTGGGAAGGATTACTAAATTAAAATGAGTCCCCATCCACACTCTAGTTTTGGGTATTGCCTAACTAAAGCCAAAAACAAAGATGAGGGCAGCTTCTGGCTATTTGTAACCTGAAGTTCTTTTAAACCTTGAGAGGCTAAGAGGGTTTTGGCCTGGGGAAAGTTTCCTCCAGTGAGTAGAACTGAGGAAAAGGAGGTCAGTAAACCTCCAGCGTCCCTCACTGTGGGTGACCCAGGGAGGCCTCTCTCCCTTATTACGTCCTCTTTTCTTGAGGTGTGTACATTTTGGATTTAGAACTTCCCTTTTCTCCTGTCCTTTCTTTTTAGTTTTAAACATTTTTTTGTAGGGAGAGGGGTCTCACTGTGTTGTTACTCAGGCTGGTCTTGAACTCCTGGCCTCAAGTGATCCTTCCACCTTGGCCTCCCAAAGTGCTAGGATTACAGACATAAGCCACCACACCTGGCCCATCCTTTTATAAAGTATACATTCCACATTAGGAGGGGAATGAAGTCATTAATAATGTAGTGAGAAGTACTCCCAACCCATGTGGAGCGAAAGGATTCAGGGGAGCTTGTCTTTGAAAAATCAATCCGTGACAAAGCTGAAAGAGGGCATAGAGAAAGGGAAGTTGAGAGGGCACCCCAAGTTTGGCCTGCTTCATAGCTGCATTCTCAAACTGTGCACTTGGTTTGGGGTGATTTGTGCTAAAATCTGGGTTATTGCTGGTTGAAGGCATTTAGTACAGGGTGTGTGTGTGTGTGTGTGTGTGTGTGTGTGTGTGTGTGTGTGTGTAGTGTGTTCTATTTTGACTTGGTTACTTTTCTAAAAAACTTTGGGTGAAATCTTTCATGGTTTGCTGGGAATCACTGTCTGAGTCCAGGTGACAAAAGGAGCCAGTGTTTTTCTGACGTTTCCTTTCAGGTTTCAATCGGATCTCATCAAGAGGCTCCTTTTGCCACCACTGCCTGTAGGACAGTCTTTTGCCTGCTTTTCCTCTGAAGTTGTTTGTTTAGAAGTCATTTGAATCTAGATGGCCCTTTTACTGCTTGTAAAGAAAAGATGGCTTAAGGCTGAGACCTAATTTTCTCCTCCTTTGAGTTAATGCAATCTCTGTTAATCTGGCTTTAAAAATAAATAGTTCACTTGGCCCTGTGAAACTCTTAATAGGTACCTTCTCAGTCAGGGCCGAGTGTCTTTGACCAAACCTAAGTTGATGATTAGACCAGAGGAAATGATCACAAAGCCAGATTCTGGAAAGTACCATTCTCTGGCTTTGAGACAAAGAGCAAAGCCACGAAGCAAGAGTGTGGGGTCATGACTTTGAAACACCTGGAGTGGTTGTGCTTGCAGACCCTGGAATTGGTTCATGATACCTATGAGAGGCATGGTCTCTGGCACATAACGGGTGCCCCCCCAGCCCTAGCCCCCAACCAGACAGAGTGACTTGGGAGCTGCTGCATGGTCAGATAATATTGCCTATGGACAGAAGAAGGAAAGTGACTTACAGAAAATGGAAGTGAGGCACAGAAACAGGTTGGATGTGGTGGCTCACGCCTGTGATCCCAGCACTTTGGGAGGCCAAGGTGGGTTGATCACTTGAGGTCAGGAGGTCTAGATCAGGCTGACCAACATGGTGAAACCCCATCTCTACTAAAAATACAAAAATTAGCCAGGCGTGGTGGTGCGCGCCTGTAATCCCAGCTACTTGGAAGGCTGAGGCAGGAGAATCGCTTGAATCCAGGAGGCGGAGGTTGCAGTGAGCTGAGATCGAGCCACTGCACTCCGGCCTGGGTAAGAGAGTGAGAGTCTCAGGGAAAAAAAAAAAAAAAAAAAAAAGAGAGAGAGAGAGAGCTTAAGATTTTAAATTTCCATAAACATTAAGCTTTAAATAGAAACAACTTAGAAAACACTTGCAATGATTCTAATAGAGACATAAATAATGTTTGTAAGGAATTAGTAAAACAATGGTCCTTTATTGTCAGCAACATATTTAGATTAATTCCTTAGAAGTTTGGTTTAGTGGCCAGGAGCAGTGGTTGTGAGGCCGAGGTGGGTTGATCGCTTGAGGTCAGGAGTTTGAGACCAGCCTGGTCAACGTGGAGAAACCCCATCTCTACTAAAAATACAAAAATTAGCTGGGTGTTGTGGTGCACACCTGTAATCCCAGCTACTTGGGTGGCTGATGCATGAGAATTGCTTGAACCCTGGTGTTGGTTCATGATACCTATGAGAGGCATGGTCTCTGGCATGTGACAGGTTATTACATTTTGTAAAATATTGATAAAAATTAAAAAAAATAGTTGGAAAAATCTTAATTGAGAAAAATGTAGGTACATCTCAGGTATCG